TGAACTCCTGACCTTGAGCGATCCACCCACCTCGGCCTCCCTGAGTGCTAGGATTACAGGCGTGAGCCACCACTATTTATATTTATTTTTAAGATGGAGTCTCACTCTGTTGCCCAGGGTAAAGTATAGTGGCGTCATCATAGCCACTATAGCAACCTCAAGACTTGGGCATAAGCCACCATGCCCGGCCCCAAACTACAGATTTATTAAAAATAAAAGTAGAGGCTGGGCACGATGGCTTATGCCTGAAATCCCGCACTCTGGGAGGCTGAGGCCGGAGGATCACTTGAGCCCAGGAGTTCAGGACCAGCCTGAGCAACATAGTAAGAACCCATCTCTACAAAAAACTTTTAAAAATTAGCCAGGTGCAGTGGCACATGCCTATAGTCCTAGATATTCAGGAGGCTGAGACAGGAGGATTGCTTGAGCCCAGCAGTTTGAGGCAGCAGTGAGCTATGATCAGGATACTACTACACTCCAGCCTGGGCAACAGAGCAAGACCCTGTCTCTTAAAAAAAAAAAAAAAAAAAGTTAAATAATTGGCTTAGCACCATATTTATCTTTCTGCTCTTGTTTATTCCCAACCAGAAGAGGTTGTTTTTCTATTTTTTAAGTTCTTAAATTATTTCTCAATCTCTAACTAAAGGAGAGGGAAAAACACTAGTCTGATTAAAATCTGGATTTTCATTTCATAAGTCTCTACTTAATAAAGGTATCCAGATGATTTCCAATGATCTACTGGTGTTTATCCTTAAAACACCTTATAAATGCACTTTTGAATATTTCTTTCAGAGTCCTTCAAAATAATATTCTTGCCATTATAAGGAGTAACTGTTAAGTGTTTAGGCCAAAGACAGTTTGTCTTCATAGGTAAAAACAAGTAGTAAATTTTATATGACTCAGTACGCATGCACACATATCATGTATCTTATTTGCAATGCCTCTGAATTTAACAATTCTGTTCTACTGTTGTTTTATTTAAAAAAACAAACTGATCCCTATCCATTAAAACGATTTCTCAACCCACCATGGGTTATGCCTAAAGTTTGAAATTCATTGATCTAGAGATAGAATATGGCTTTTCATGATTCATTTTGTAAAACTGGAATGAACGAGTTATACATATGTATATATTCTCAAATATCATGTAAGACATATCCCATAAAAATGTTTCAAAATTTAGGCCGGGCGCGGTGGCTCACGCCTGTGATCCTAGCTCTCTGGGAGGCCGAGGCAGGCGGATTGTTTGAGCTCAGGAGTTTGAAACCAGCCTGAGCAAGAGCGAGACCCCGTCTCTACTAAAAATA